TCAGAAGCCCATCGGGGAACCTCCCAGAAACCTTATTGGAAAGTGACAAGTGGAAATAAGGAATATGGCTGCCTCAGCTTCAGATTTGGGTCCCGCGGGGAGGGGTGGCTGGGCCCCACACACCCACTGCGGCAGTTTAGGCCATGGTGTGACTTTCAGCTTTTAAATGTTTTGATTCCCAGTCTGGGGTGCACACTCAGCTGTGCTCAGGTAGCTGAGGCTGCCTTCTGGGCCTCCTGGCAGCTCCCACCAGCTGCTCCAAGGAAAGGCTCTGGATGCCCACTGAGTGACCACTGCTATGAAGAGACCCTGTTTCCTCTCCATATGACCTCCCTAACATCTGGCCACCCTGTGGCTTGGCTGTCTGGTTTCAGCCCTTCATCTGCAGGCCAGGCAGACAGGGTCTGTCCCTGGGGTTGGTGGGGGAGGCCAGCCCCAACCCACATGGTTCTCATACTCTGGGTGAGGGGTCCAGGAAGTCTTGGAGCTCCGTACTGTTAAGAATAAAAATTATTCTGACACTTGTGAAAACAGTAAGGCAGACTTTATTTAGGACTATCGTGACAGGTGTCAAGGACTACTGCAATGGGGTTTTGCAGTAGGAAAGAGAGATTGGACTCAACCCCAGATTATTACAAGGAAAATTGAGAATTTATAGTTAAGGAGTAGTGGGGGTGGATGGATAGAAAATTTAGAAGAAGGTGGGATAATTCTCTGCTACCTGGCCTAACAGGATTCTTGCTGAAGGGAGGCTAGAGTGATCAGATATCACATGGCGGATGCTGCACTGGTCAGATATGGAAGGTGGTCAGCTGTGGAAGGTGGAGCACCCCGGCTAAAGTGCCTTAGCAGGATTCTTGCTAAAACTGGACCCTACAAGGACAGAGATGGAAGCCCAAGTTTGGGTCTCGCTGAACAGAGGGCTCAGAGGAGCCTGACTAGTTTGGTCAAAAAGAGACTCTGTTAGTATCCCGAGGCGTGCTGCAGCCTGTGTTTAGTATTGCCCACGGTTGGTTCTTGCGCTGGCCTGAGCTCATCATCACTCACACTTGTCCCTCAGGAGTGGTGCCCCTCCTTGTGGGCATCACTCCTTCATTTCCAGAAACCCTAGTCCTGTTCTTTTCAGTGTCTACTGGTTCCTTGTCCCCCAGCTCCCTCACTGTTGGCCGCCGGACCGCCCACTGCACCCTGCAGAAAACAGCGTGGACCCGGGGCCTTGGAGCCCTGCGGCCCCCTAGCACTGCTCCCCTTGTTACCAGATCTGTTGGGAGCCTGACGTAGCCATTAGGCTCTGGACAACCCTCCCTGCTCGACCTTCTTCCCTTGGCCTCTGTACCTTGTGTTTCCTGCTCTCCTCATCCTGGGCAAACCAGTCTGACAACTTTATGGCTCTCTCCCTCTCCCACAGGCCTGGGGACGTCTGTCTCATCTGCCTGGCTTGGGCTGCATGAGGTGCAGAGGGTGATCTCCTCCCCCACCCTCTGCCTGGACTGCGGCTCCAGGGACCTTATGGAGCACCCCCCACCCCAGCTTCCTTCTCCTGTCTAAGGTCTTCCTCCTGGTTTTCCCTGCCTCTCCTCTCTGCTTGGTCACATCCTGCACGCATGACCCTGTTGGGCCTTTGCTACTGTTGGGGGGGCTCCTGTCTCAACAGCCAACTTTTTCAGAACCAGGACACCTGCTGTTGTGAGAAAAAAGGGTGTGTGAAGAAAACCTGGTGACTGCCTGTGGTGGGTAGGGGCCTTCCCCACTTCCTGAAGGCGGGCTTCCACCCCTGCAGGGGAACTGTGGCTCTGTGCCGCCATCCTGCCTCCACAGTCATGTCTCCTGTTGTCCTAGCTGCTTCCTGTGAAATACGAGTAATGATATAAACAGATAAGGAGCATGTCAACAAAAGAGGCCTGGTAGTGGTGGGGTGTTCATTTCCCTGGGAGCAGGGAGGAGGGAGTGGCATGTGCCCAGGTGCAGGGGTGGGGTGGGCAGGTCTGTCCAGGGCTGCTCTGGGCTAGGAGAATCCTGGAACTCTCTCTGTGGGAAGCCAAATGTTGGGGGTGGCGAGTGCCAGCTGGGGTGCTGCAGAATTCCGTGTGTTGAGGATCAGCGCCTCCTGGGTGTGGGGGCCCTGCCCACTCCTGCAGAAAGGCGGGCCAAGAGGGGCTGGTCTTGGTGTGATGGAGGGTTTAGGTTTCTGGGCCAGAGCTGCTGAGGGGCCAGGAACTTGCTCCCCGCAGCTGAGGTCTGAGGGCTCCAAGTGCCAGCGTGATTCTACTTGTTGTGAAGTCTCGTTTGTACTCCTTAATTTCGGGGCTATTTGTTGAACATGGAGCACTCATCAGAAAGCATCTTACAGAAGAGGGGAGCAGGACTTTCCAGCTGCCTTTCTCTGTGGCCTGGGCCATCTGTGAGCTTGCGGTCATTAGGAGATAGATCTCTGTGGTGGCCTAGGGGTGGGGCAGGGGAGTTCTGCTAGGTAGAGAGAGCTGTATTCAGGAACCACTCCCTGCCCCCCAAGAAGTCTCACCCAAATGGTCTGGACAGTCCTGATTCTAATAGGCATTGTGTCATCCCCCTGAGAAGCGGGGGAGAGACTGCGAGGGTTATTATATTGTTCCTTAGGGGGAAAATCACTCGGAGGAAAGACATCAGTGCTTCTGAGTGCAGAGTATTTATTGATGTGTCAGGTAAAGTAGGCTTTTAAACAACATGTGTGTATCCCTTTAGTAAGGAATAAATGTCCAAACTCATCTCACAACTCCATTTTGCAGCTTGCATTTCCTGAAAGGTACAGGGAGTTTAGTGATTAAGGGACTGGGGTTTTGAGCTGGGATTTTGGAGAAACTGTTTTTAGCCTGTCCTTGGAGTTGGGCCAGGCCTAGAAATCTGTTGAAATAGCTTTCTTTAGCTGCTAAAATTGGGATGGGTTCGTAGGCCCTTGAGTCTCACTGATGACTGGGGAGGGCCCTGAGAAGGGTCCCTGCTGAGGCCTGGGATCCCTGTGGTTCAGCACCCCCCCGAACCTGGGGGTCTTATGGTCTCATAACGGGCAGAGAGGACCCAGCTACAGATGGTCCTTTGTGTGGACCAACTTCAGGTTTCCTGTCTGCCTTTGTCAGAATCTACTCTTGGTCTTCCTAAGAAAACTATTTTGGGACTTGGGGAGGAATTGTGAGCAGGGTCTGAGCAGATCAGTATTTATTCCAGAGGCTGGCATTCCCCCCGTCTCCTTCCTTGTTCTGGGAAGATACCAGAAACTATCTGCAGTGAGTTGCAGGTCAAATTTTTTTGTGCCACAAACTTTAGGGATTTTAAGTGTCAGTTTAGTTTTAACTTTGTTATTTAAAAAAAAACGTGGTGAAAAATACATAAAGATATATAGTGAAGATTAGTATTTCCATCCCTGACCCCTTCAGTCCTGCCCCTCTGAGGCCTGTCCCCGTCACTAGCTGTCAGGTGCCAGGGAAGCGTCTCCACCCTCCCTCCTCCTGTTTACACCCGTGCTGTACACGACTTACATTGTTCTGCACTTACTGATTTTCACCCTGAAGTTTATCTTGGGATTGTTCCATTTCAGCCCCCACAGTTTAGGCTGTTCTTTTTTAACAGCAGCATGCTATTCCTCTGTGTGGTCCACCAGGATTCACTTTATCAGCGCCCCCATGGATGGACATTGGGGTTGTTCCCGTGTTTGGTTGCTACAAGCCAAGCTGTGGGAATGCTTAGATGGGGGGGGGGTCCACGCACAGGGTGGTTGACCAGAAAAGAAACATGCTGTTTTTATTCCAAGAGGGAGAATGAGTGTTGCTGAGTTTTTCTTTTGGGGGAATCTTGTTATTTCTGTGGGTCGGAGCCTAGAACTGGAGGGACTGTGATGCTGATGCTAGTTCCCCGCAGTGTCTTTGTTTCAGCTCAGGTCAGCCTATCTCTAAAGCACCTGCTGTTTGTGGCCCTTGGCTGTGCCCAGTGGGCCGTGCAGCCTGCACCCAAAAATGTGACATAAGAATGTGCAGAGGCAGTCAGAGCCAGATAGGAGAGGCTTCTCATATGTGAGTTTCGTTGGCCCCAGGAGTTTGCAGGACTTGGGCTGGGTGGCTGGGAATCAGCTGTTAGAAAAAGAGATTCTCCCTGTTTTTAAGGGGTTGATATGAGGGTCAGGCCTCCTGTCCAGGCCTCACTGGACCTTCTACAGCTCTGGGATCCCCTGTCTCCTTCCTGCCCAGCAAACCTCACTGGCTTTGTGCTGCTTCAGGCTGCTCTGGGCCTGAGTGCCACCCCGTGATTTTAAAAGCCTGTGTAGAAGGCACCTGGTGTAAATAATAGATGGGTTTTTCTGCTTTGAGCAGGCAGCTTCCTTGCAGAGCAGAAGCAGGGGCTGAGGGCAGATGAGGTTTTCTTCCCGGGATGGCTTAGGGGAGGGAGGGAGGGATATAAGAGGACTGGATTCATCCACTGGGCTCCTCTTGGGAGTCCTGGGAGCGTCTGGCTGTTCCCCCAACCTTGTGGCCACCGTGTGCCCCTGAGATGACCATAATCTTTCCCCAGGTGGCTCTGGCTTCCCCGTGCCTGGGCAGGGCAGGGCAAGAAGCAGTGAGATTTTAGGACTGGCTGGCAGATAGCCCCCTGAATAGAAAGGTGCCTGATATGACCCTGACCCGATGGGTGCGAGGCCTGAGTCCCTGCCCTGCCCCTCCCACCATCGCCCTTACATGCCGCCCCTGTGAGAAGTCCAGAGCTTCCCAGGCCCACAGCCCTATCATGTGGGGCTTGGGGCCTGGGCGGCACAGAAGTTTCTATTGTGGTGGGGTGGCAGCCAGGGCTGACCTGTGGGGCTGAGGAGGTGGGGCCTGGGGACTGACAGTGGAGCTATTCATGGGCTCTGCCCTGGTTTCCTGCGGCCTCCCATTGTGGATTATTTTTTGGGGGGGAGGGGAGGAGGAGAGGGGGTGGCCGGTGCTGCTATTGTTGCCGGCAGCAGGAGCCCATTATGCTTTAGAGAGTCCTTCGGGGGACAGATCTTAGCCACTCCAGGGCCCCTCTCGTGTTCTCTGATGCGGTGAGCTGCTCAGCCTGACCCTGCCCTCTCCCAGGGCTCCCCATCCCTGGGAGTCTGGAGGGACCCTGCCCTTTGTGGGAGCCTCTGTCAGGATCACCCCCCCCAAGTTCCCCATGCTGTGCCTGGAACCCCCCTGGGTCAGACCTCTGAGCTGCTGGGCAAGGAGCAGGGGTACCCAGGGCCTGTCTTGTCAGCCACCCGCCCGCCACCTCTGGAGGGGGTTCTGCCTGAGCTCTCCGGCCCAGCTGCGCCCTTGGGCGGGGGCCAGGCGTGTGCCTGGGTAGCTGTCAGTCTTGCAGGCCCCCATTTTCCTTTGTACCTTGTCCCCGGTGCCTCGCTGCAGCACTCACTGTAGAAAAGCCTGCTTGCTGGCAGGCTGGCCTGCAGCCTCCCCTGCTGCCTGAGCCACAGCCACAGCCATTTTTCTTTGTTCTGCCATCTCCGGGCTCTTGAATCTCAGGCAGGCGGCGGCAGGCTGGGCGGGCAGCAGGCAGCGGGCGTACAGCAGCAGCGGAAGCCCTTGCGACATGAATCTTCCACTGAGCCGAGGGCCTGCAGGCTACTGGTTGTGCCCTCGCTTCCCCCAGCTGTACCCTCCGTGCCCCAGTGGTGCTGAGATTTCCTCTTTGTTCAAAGAGGGTCTCACTGGAACAGAATGATGCTCTCCTGTGTTGTGAGGACAGAGAGAGGTCTCATCTGTTTGTGCCACCGAAGACCTGAGAGAGGGCGAGAGAAAGATGGGGGGGGCGGGTATGAGTTCACAGGTGCCTCCTCGTTTTTGGCAAAAAAGCCACTCCCAGGCACAAAGTGTGATCTTCCTTTACCCCCGGTCCTTCTCCATGTAAGAGTCTGTGTAGGAAATGCTCTTAGCATTTAGTGGAAGAGGTGGTTGAGAAAATAGTTTCTTTTCTTTATTTTGATCTCTGTAGGGTGGTGGGGATTTTTCTCCAACTGAGGAGAACCATCCCCTCCCCTTTTGCGTCTGCAAGTCTCTCTTATCCCCCAGCTTATAGTGGGCAAGCTGAGGGTTACTCGCTGGCATCTCTTTCCGGAGGTGTGCCCACCCCAACCCATACATCGCCAGCCTTCTAAACCACAGCCAGCGTGTGTAATAGTCCCCCTGCCTTTGACATAGAGTTGTTCTGTATGAGAACTCTGGGGCTCTCACTACTTTTTTGTGTGTTTAGCATTTTCTTTCATCCTTTCAAAACCCATCCATCTTGAGATCAGCCTGGCTGTCTTATATGACTCTTATCGCCAAGCCTTAATGAGGAAGCAAGTCCCAACCCTTGGAGTGTCCTTATTTCAGCAAATGTTGTACAAGTCTCAGCATAAAGAGCTAAGTTTACTGTCTGAATAATTGAAGCACAGATGCAGCTTTTAGGGTACTTGGGCCCAAACGAGGGTGGGAAAGGTCATGATTGAGGCAGCACAGTGCTCCCGGAAAGCACAGGGAGGTAGAAGGCTAGGGTGGGGTCCCAGCTGTGCCACTGGCCCTCCGGGTGACCCTGGCAATTCATTTCCGTGGGTGTAGGTCTGGAAAATGGAAGGGTTGCTCGGATGAATTTGGACGTTTTTCAGCCGAGTTCTATGGATCTGACTCCAAAATGCTTGGTCACTACCCTGAGCCTCTCTGGGCAGCTCAGGATACTTTTTTGGAAGAAAGGTCATCAGACGGGATTAACAGAGGACATGCCTCCCTCAGGGCACTCCCTCCTCAGGTTCCTGAGGGACTGGGAGGGGTGACGATCATCTCCACAGATGTCTGCGGTGTCCACATGGAAACCTGCCCACCCTGAGCCCTAAAGCACACTGTAGTGCTCAGGGGCTGAGTGTGGCACCAGGAGCCCACTGATAAATTGCCCTGCCTCAGACCACAGCGTTGCCCTTTTTCTTGGAAACGCCACATTCCCTCTCTGGTAGAATGGAACCTGTGGGGGAGGGGAGTAAAACTCTTTATTTTACCTCCTGCCAAAGTGAGGCTAGGCTGTTAAAAGTGAAAACAAAATCAATAAGATGGAGATACCCTCTGTCCTTTAATATCCTTTGTCCCTCCTGGGGGGCTTGGCTTTAAATTTTGTCTCTATTTTGTCAAAAATTCCAGGAGGCAAAATGGGTTTCTAGCCCTTTATCTCCTTTCCCCACCCAGCCTCCACCCCCTGGGGGGCCTCCTGTACCCCAGGCTTTCCTCCCATTGTCTCCTGGCTGGGATCAGGCTGGGATCAGCCTCTATCGCTGCTCTGGGCTGTGTGTTTCTGCCCTGCGTCACAGGAGGCCTGTGATCTTGGAAGAGCCCAAGGGGCTGGGAGTTCAGCTTTGATAAACATCTGGTTAGAGTAGCTTCCACAGCTGTGAAATGGGAATAAAAATAACCTGTGAGGATCCAGTGGGATGTACTAAAATACTGAACAGATTCCAAAATTAAAGCATTCCTCCAGGAAAGCTGATTGCACCCCTGTCCGCAGCTGCGCGGTAAAGATGGGTGGGCTTTCCTCCTGGACTTGCCTTGAGGGTCCTTTCCCTCCATCAGTGCTGCTGCTTTTCCCTCAGGCCTCTCATATCCTCACCGTTACAGCACTGCCCCTGGCCTGTCGGTGGGCAGCACTGGCAGCACCTGGGAGCTTGTAGCAGCGCATACTCCTGTGGGCCTCACCCCACACCAGCTGAAGTAGAATCTGCATTCAACAAGATTCCCAGGTGATTTGCATGCACTTTCAAGTTTGAGAAGCACTGGCTCAGACACCTCTGCCCCGCCCCGCCCCGCCCGATGCTCTCGCACCTTCTTCAGTCTGCTTTGTGGTTTTGCTGTCTTCACCCTCTGCCCTCCTTAAAGTTGTTGTCTTTAAACAGATCTAGCAGCTCTGGCTCTGTGACCCCCACCCTCTCAGGCGTGCAGTTTACAGCAGGTAGCCCTGGGTACGGGGGTGGGGGGGTGTCTGGGAGGCAGGTCCCGGGGACCTCGGAAGCCGCCTGGCAGCTGTGGGCACCTCCCCCAAGCCTGCGGCCCGAGGTCAACTTTGGGGCAGAGCCTAGGGGTAATCGGAGCCCTCTTTTGTGAAAGGGGGTGCGGAGCCTCACTCCGCCATCTGGTGCCACTCACCCTGCCCCATCTGTCCCAGCTGGGTGACACCATCAGAATCAGGTTGTAAATGTTGTTTGCTTTTTGTAGGAACACAAAGCATTCTATATTAAGATGTTTTGGTGTTATGTTGAAGTTTAAATAAATAATTCAGAAAAGGGACCGTAAATTTATTTTTTGTGGTCTTTTTTTAATGGAAAAATGATTGAGATGACCCCTGATTTTGCTAGGATTGCCTACCCTCCCCCTCATTCTGGTGGAGGTGGGTGGGGGGCTTTTGGGGGGTGAGCTTGGGCCCCCAGGCCTGGGGGTGCCCTTGGCCTTGTGGGACTGTTTTAGGGACTAAGCTGCTAATCTATCTCTGCAGTCTCCCAGCTGTTTCGGCAGAGTTCTACCAGTGATTTGCATTTTTTAAAAATCTGCTTCTTCCTCCCCCCTTACTCTTTCTCTCTTTATATTTTCAATGCACTTTGTTTTATTTTTCTTCAGCAGGCTTCTTTTTATAGCTTGTTGGCGAAGTTAGTTTTCTTCCCTCTGTGAGCCTTTTCCCCCAGGCTGTTTGCCAGACTGGAGGGGCCAGGAGCCAGGCTCTGCCCTGGCCTGGAGAGCCCCACCCTGGGGCAGGATTAGGGGGTACCCCTAATGCCGTCCTTGGAGTGAAGTGGGTTGGTTGTCTTAAAACACGGTACGTTGTAATAAACTGCAATTTTGGATACAAGGATTTCTAACATCTTAGAGCCACAGGGAAAAAATGGCAGACAGGGAAAAATGGCAGACAGGGAAAAATGGCAGAAAAGGAGTAAATGTATAATTCTGAGTTCTCCTATATAGTTTCTTTGTGTTGGAGGAGAGGAGGGTGGGAGGAGGGCAGCCCTTGCAAAGAGAACATTTCCAGTCTACATCCGACAAGTGGGTCACTTCCTCGCACCGTGCTTGAGCAGCTCCCCGAAGGGCTGCCCAGGACTCAGTTATTGGAGCAGAATTTATTTCTCCCCAAGAGCAGGCCTGCTCGTCACTCTGTGGCTGTTAGGAGTGCCCCCCACCACCCCAACTGTGTCAGCCCTGCAAAGACAGCCACACTGCTGGAGTCTAAATGCCACCAACAGGGTTGGACCCCATGCTGGGGACACATTGGGGCTCTGTTGAGACTCTTGGCTGCCGCCATGTTGGGTTGTAGTGGTTAAACCGACTGCTTTGTGGAACGTTTCCTGACCAGCTTCCCGCCTCCTTCCTTCCTTCCTTCCTTCCTTCCTGGGCCGGGCCCATCCTGCCCTCCTGCACCTACCTGGCTCTGCATTTAGCAGAGGGAAGTGTGTTCTGAGCCTCCTGCATCAGGCACCGGTCTTACTGGGGTTCTAAGTCTCCACAGCCCCATTCCGGGCGCCTTGCATGCAGCAGGTGCCAGGACTTGTAGAAACAGGTCCTGAGATGTTTGTCTCCCACAACAGGGACTCGCAGAGTGAGTTAGTGCACTTGGCTTCAGTCATGCCATAGCCTTGACTCAGGCACTTCATGGGGAATTTCAGAGTGGACAGAGGGCCCAGCCCACTCCTCCTGAGGTCCGGAGGTCCCAGCACCTAGGCCTTGTGGGTTCTTGTCCACACTGGAGATGTCAGTGGGCCCAGATTTCCTTGTCTTTGTGTGCAGCTGGTTTCTGGGTGTAGACATTTTATGTGCACTTAGGATTTCAGAAACAGGCCTGCGGTGATTATCTGGGCACAGGGCACCGTGCACCGTGCACCGTGCACCATGCACCATGGCAGCGTGGCTCCCCAGCCTCACATGAGAAGGAGGCTTCACCTTCGGCTGCAGAGGTGCTGGGCCTCCTTCCCTGCAGCCTTTTGAGAGGTTGTGGGGCAGCAGCTGTGGGTGCCCGGGCCCTGCCTCACCTGGTGGGGCAGGCACTGCCCTGGGGCTGCCT